TAACAGACCCATAAAAATAAGGCTACTGCATCTTATGTTAATGTTATATGTCATACTACATCATGACATTAACCTAACTGCATTAGATAGTGTATTTTTGTAAACTTATTTAGTATACAAACAGGTATTAATACTGTGATTCGCCTCTGCTGGCTTCTCCAAACCTGAGTGTTGCCTTTCCGCTTAGAGACTGATGACGAGAAAATATAGTGCTCTCCTATTGGTTTCTGCAGTTTTGAGCCATCTTTTAATTTAAGATCAATACCTTTCTTTAGTCCTAGGTATTTTATTTTGATCAATTAAGTTTTTAATTTACAAATAACGGCCATGATTGGAGAAATTAATAAATGTGCACCGGTTTTATGTTTCTGACTAATTTTGAATTGTTATTTTGAGTCGACAAACTACATAAAACTGTTTCTCAGTCCTTTCACTTTCGAATTCTTTGTCACGTACAAGGAAATTATCATTGACGCTTTGTCAATCAGCTTCGTCGTTTTGGAAAACATAAAACCCCAAACTACAGAATATAATCAGAATTAGTTTTTCCACTTTAACACACGATGGCTCTTTTCGACGTAAGTGGTTTTAAGTCTTATTCTGAACTCCGTGAGCAGATTCTTCCAGCAGGACAGACGCATCTCGTTGACCGAACCAACCACTACAATTTCGGGACCAAAATTCAAGAATTTGCTCTTCCTCTGGGTGTAGACGTGAGTATCTTGAGTTTTGGTAAGAAATAAATATACTGAATCCTATCCGGTAAACCTGCCACACGCGTGAAGCGTCAGACGCGGTTTGGTTCAAGTTACTTTACGCGTCTGTGGTTTTCAGCGTGTTTGCTTCTTATGAAATATCATATCATGCATTTATCTTCACTATCACGAGTTATTGGCAAAGAATATTAGATTATGATGGATATTCCACTCTCATGTTGCGCACACACATACAGCGCTATTACACATTATGCGTCTGAGATCCCTTCTTTGATTTCATTTTAGCCTTCAGGGTTTCTCAAGTCCTGCAACCATGACGGAGGTGTGTGTATAGAGCTGAACCATGGTACGACCACCCTGGCCTTCAAGTTCAGACATGGAGTCATTGTGGCTGTGGACTCTAGAGCCTCAGCTGGACGATACTTGGGTAAATATGCATGTCTGAGAAAGTATGGAAAATGTGTTATTTCTCTTCCAGACCTGGAAAAGGTTGCACAGAAATGTGAAGAAATTGGAGCATACAATGCATAGCCCATCATTCCACATAGTCTGACAGCCTAGCTTCTGTAAAGTCCCTTACAGTACATCCTATCAAATTCTCATCGACTCAAGGAACAGTGGTCTCAAAGAGCAGCATATGGAATTTAGGGATCATGGACTAAATATCACAAAATGTAAATAAGGCAACAAAGTGCTGATACAGTGGGCTTCATCACAGTGTTGACATGCTTCAGCCTGTAATCTTGGTCACTAAATGTCTCTTTTTCCCAAATATGTCACGGCTCTGCAGCATCCAACGATGTCAACAAGGTCATAGAGATCAACCCCTACCTGCTGGGCACCATGTCGGGCAGCGCTGCAGACTGCCAGTACTGGGAGAGACTCTTGGCCAAAGAGTGCAGGTCCGTCATGCAGTGTTTTGAATATTGGTCCCATTGTCAGTCAGTCCCTTTTGTCATTTAAAGTTCTATGTATCTGTGTATTGGTGGGCTTGGTGGTGTATTACTTGCTGCTTGTATGCTGTGCTTCAACATTTTATCTGGTTCCCGTTTTAGAGCTTCATGACCTTATAAATATAGTGTAGCAGGTGTGTTAATAAGTTGGATATATAGTCGAGTAATGTCAGATCAATCACAACAAAAGATACTGGAGAAAGTAGTTTTAATTAACTGACAGAAAGTGGTGCACAGTAAGAAAGTCCTGGGCTCCAGGTCCTAACCCCACATGGGCCTCCTATATGGATGTCATGTGAGGATGCGTATGTTACACTAGGTATTATATAAACCTTTAAAGCTTCTTTATCAAGAAATTAACACAATAAATCAAAGTAACATAACAGATTTACATTTAGATGAAAACATACATAAAATACTTCTAAATGAAATAAGTCAGTGTTCTTTTAAAGCCAGGTAAAACACTTTTTTCAGGGGTGGTAGGCACCAAGTTCAGGCCAATCTGGACTAAATGCGTGGCAGATTGTTTGTCTATGGATTTGCTTATGAACTGGTTGGTACCTTCTTTTATTATTATTTCATCCAGGCTGTACAGGCTGAGGAACAACCACAGGATCTCTGTAGCTGCTGCATCCAAGCTGCTCTCCAACATGATGCAGGGTTACAGAGGGATGGGCCTCTCTATGGGAAGCATGATCTGTGGATGGGACAAAGAGGTAAGCTGTGGGTTTGGTTGTGAATGTGTGAGTTTTACAATCCGCACTGTTAGGAGCATTTATAATCTTTTTTTATCACTTCATGTGAAACAGAGCCTCATATTGTACCCAATTTGTTGGTATAGAAATTAGAAATTTTGCTGGTAGAGGATTGTAAAGTTGTGGTCTAATTTGGATGTTTTATTGTTCCTGTTAATAAGAATTTATTTTAAAAATGGATACTTGTTCGTCATCATTAATTATATTTTCTATCAATGAATAACAAAGTCACTTTATTCCTTTTCACATGGCCTTCATCATTGTAAAAAACATTAAAATATAGACACCACTTAAATAACATTGACACACATGTATTAATGTATTATAATAGGCTGTTTAGGAAACATTTACACAGAAACCAGTTATCAATCAAACTAGGGAAAAGAGTGATATATTGTAAACACAACATATTTAAATATTAGCTACATAGCAATATGACATATAAATAATACTGATTGCAGCCACCAGTTGCCTATACCTTCAAATGTATGTAAGTATAATTTCTTTAGTGAGTCAGGTATACAATCCTGAAATATTAGAAGATATACATGTACACTGAAGGCATCATTGATGGAGCAGCCCATTAAATTATATCTGTTTTATGATTGTCACGCCTCTATTTGGAAGTACTCTTATCAGAAACTGTGGCCTGTATATAAAATAATAATTGTCCTGCAGACCATATAATGATTCTGTGCTCTCCAGGGCCCAGGTCTGTACTATGTAGATGATAATGGGACGCGTCTGTCTGGCCGTATGTTCTCCACCGGCTGTGGTAACAGTTACGCCTACGGTGTGGTGGACAGCGGTTACCGGGAAGACATGACGGTAGAGGAGGCGTATGAACTGGGCCGTCGGGGCATCGCTCATGCTACACACAGGGATGCTTATTCTGGAGGAGTGGTCAACAGTGAGTATACTCTGATAATGTTCTTAAATTTTGTTTTTGATTTAACATTTAAGTATATCTTGTATCTTTATTAAAGATATTATTTTTATCACAAGCAGCATCGTTGATCGGTCGGCTCACTTTGGTCCAGACTTAAATCTTATTTTTTCCCACATAAGTAGATTTAGACTTGTGTGGGGATAATGTGTATGACCTTATGTGATATTTTTTGTGTGTGTGTGTGTTTGTTAGTGTACAATGCAGAGGATGGTGGATACAGGTGGTGTAAGTGAAGACGTATCAGAGTTGATCCACCGCTACAGGAAGGAATGTTCTAAGTTTTCAAACACAGATAACCCTCAGTTCTCTGAATACAGTCCAAGTGATGTGTTGAAAGTGGAAATGAAATGTGTAAGGAAGTGTGGGGGGGGTCCAATTCTGATTTTAGATCAATGAGTCATGTCATTAGAATGCTACGTAGAACCATTTCCTTTTCTTACATATGAACCTAAACTTTGCAGGATCCGAATCCAACTTGTCATAATTAAATACTTAACATCTATGTTTGGTTATGGGTTCTTTATATTATGTATGTTGTACTTGTAATGATGATACTCTGATATGGTTATGCTAACCACACATCCTGTTAAAATAATATCAAAACTGCTCTAAATAAAGCGTTGTTTCAACTTACTTTGCCTGTAAGCATTAACCTCAACAGATACATTCAAGTTTGTTTTATGATATCAGAACTGTCAAGCACAAACCATTCAAGAGGCTACTGTATCGTCACTCGAGATTCGACACGTCTCTTTTTTACTGGTTCCAACTGCGTAGTCTATCTCAAATGATTGTGCATGGCAGTCATTTTCAAGCCGATTATACGATACATCTATACCTTGTGTTTTTATATATATAGGAAGATGCCACCTTGTAAAATAGGCTTTGTTTCTATGTTTATTATATACATCCACAGTTGGTGACTGACCACACAAAACAATAAACGATTTTTGGCCACATTCATAAAACGCTAAAGTGGGCAACACTGTGATTCATCTGTTTCCCAATTGCACGAGCTGCAGTACACAGGTTTTCCCGTTGAGCGTACTTGATTTGCACGGAAGAAACCAGCGCCAGGTCAACATCATGTGTTTAGCAGGTCTGTGAAGATCTCGTTCTCTATTCCTGCTTGAGTCCTAGGCAGGCGATAAATGTGGCTTTAAAAACGAACATTATATATGCTTGGGGCCCCATATGAGCCTTAAAAATAGTAACAACAAGTTTAACAACTATCACCTTCAACACTATATGATATGGAACAGTAGGTGAGCTGATCCGTGTGTGCGTTCTGAGCTGTGTATCACCCCGCCTGAGCGCGCGCGCGAGAACACACATACGGGGCGGGTAGCAGGTACGACGTAATAAAATAGAGTTGATGTTGGAGAAGCCACAGAATTCAGAGATTTCTTGGAAGGGCCGTAACGTCATCAGGTTGTTAGCCAGGATTTCAAGTGCAACAGGCTTTTTTTTTGCACGCGGAATAAACGCAAATCACCACACTGGATACCAACCAATGAGCAAGAACTGAGTGGGGCCTATCTCTTAAAGCGGGGGCCTATAGCAACTCGCGATTCTGTTTCTATCTTTAATTAATACACTACATACAAACAAAAATGTGAAGACCCTTCTTATTAGAGTCGGCCAGTGAACAATAACCGAGAGATAAATGTAAGTTGCCATGAAGTCTCAACACAGTTCCGTCATCAGCTATAAATTTTCTTCTCATGTAAAAGACACAATCCATTGAGTTATCTGTAGAGGAATTTTTGTTGGCTACACGTCTCCGCAGTTGAACATCTACAGAGTGGCGCTCAATAGTCCGTTTTAAACATGATAACTCCGTGCAATATTCATATAACCGGACACTGTAGGCTACAGTTCACAAATTGTAAGAATATATGCAGAAACAGCAAAAAGACACCTATTGACTTAGAGATTTATTGAATCCGTAGCAAGGGAGACAAAACAGTAAACAATTAATCTGAAATTCATCCCACTCAATTCAAGCCACAAAAAGTAATTTTGAGTATTCTTATATATACACACTGAAGAGAAAATGTCTTGCCCTAATTTTCGGCAAGAAGTATTTTCCAAAAAGATTTCTATCAGTGTGCTGAGAAGCTTGAAAACATCCCCACAACCCTTTCCCAGGATAAAATTAAATATACTCATCAGTTTAAAACCTATAACACAGATATTATGAAAACAAAAAGCCAATAACATAATCTTCTTATATACCTTGGCGCTGATTGGAATCAAACAAAATCTTTAAATTTGATCACTTTTTAAAGATTATACAAGCAAACTATTCAAAAAAAAAAAAAAAAATACACAAGCTGGAAACTAATTCTTTTCCCTGATTCTTATATAGTGTGTGTGTGGTTTGTGTGTGTCCAGGGTGGGCCAACATTGATATGAACCTATCACCTGTTTATTCAGTATTCGCGAATGTATTTGCAAGATGTGAACCAGTTTCTGTAATAAAGCGCATGTACAGTACCAAGATGTGAATTGTGTCCGATGATTATGTACAAATCCAGATAATTCTGATTTTGAATAATAATATTGAAACAAAACTCTCTGCCCATCTATTTCGCTTGTCTCCTGATCCAGCTGAGAGTCGCAGAGGACTGGAGTCGAGGCCAGTGCAGGCATGTGGAACGAGAGGTGGAGTAAATTTATCACCCATTTCATTCTCACATTAACACCTAGCAGGGCAATACGAGTGTGTCCGCATATAGGAAGCATACTTTTGATGTTTGCTGATTGATTTTGCAGTTTTGCTGGCAGTGATGCTAATAAGCAACCAGAGAGGACAAAAGAATGATTTTCTTTATGATTTTCTTATATATACAACTCTCTACTGTTAGCAAAATCTCTGCTTATCTCAAGGGTATCAAATCGCCATATGTCTTGAGAGATTAACATTGAAAATGGGAATGCATGGATGTGTGTGTGCGCTGTGTGTGTAATGTATATTTAACATTACAGACCATTTACATTTTACGAGAAAAGCCA